CCTCCTAATCTGTTTATGCAGCTCCCCAATCTGTCTTTGTGGCCGGTCGGGGGACGAGACAAAGCCGGAGCCTTCCCCGCTCCAGAGACGGATTCCTCGTCACGCCGCTCACTCAGCTGACTCGTAAAGTCATTGTGGAGGCTGACGGAGCGTCGTGGGCCGTTAAAATAATTGATTGACCGTGCGGCGGCTTGGGGTTATTCAGTCAACAGTTAGCGTTAGCTGCTGAGGGTGTGTGTGTGTGTGTGTGTGTGTTTGGTTCCTTCAAGGTTGTTGTTTAACAGATAAAGACAGTTTCTCACTTTCCTCTTGTCTGGCAATGTAGACTCGAATAATTCAATAATTCACATCGCCGGGCGGCTGAGTATGACGAATAAACTCCAGTTTCAATCTTCCACTGAAAAAACTCAGAACGCAACATTTTTATTTTAACTAATTATTGTCAAAAATACGTCTTTACACTCTTGAAAGAGTGAGTTTCTTGAAATAAGACGTAATCATTTTTGTTACACTCTGTTACTGAGACATGTTTCTCACACACACACACACACACACACACACACACACACACATGCACAAGCCTGTGGAAATTAGTGGAGAGATGTCAGAGTGCGGCTGCTACTCATGGAGCGTGCCAGAGCTGGTGGGGGTCCGGTGCCTTGCTCAAGGGCGCCTCAGCGTTACTCTGCATCTCTTCAGCAACCAGACCAACTTCCATACTTTGGTACCCGCACCGGGACGTGAACCAACGGCCCTCCCAACCCAAGTCCTTACAGACGGAGCTACTAACTTACTACAAGAGCTGACAACGCCAGCGCCATCTTCTACTTGTTATCAGACATTATTCTCCATTCGTAGACGACCTTTAATACGAGTGGTGACCAACAGCGATGTGAGAATGGTCTTCTTGTATCATAACAACAGATTATCGCCCCCTGCTGGCATGGAGAGTTATTTCCTCTCGTGGTGGTTGGCCGTCGGCTGTAGTCTTTGCGGTGCGTTGAAGTGCAACTTTTTGGCCGAGACGTGAGGCGGCCTTTGTCTCCACTAGTTCTTCTCCGTCTGCTTGGTGTGTCAGGGTCTTAACAGAGCCACATTCTGGTTTTTGTTCTTTATATCCACTCTCTATCTAGATCCAAATGTGCTATATGAGTATGAACTATTTGGTCTAACTCTTAAGAGGGATGTGATGAACTTTGACCCACCAAAGGCGAGACGGTTGTTCACAGCGGGGGCTTTCTGTCAGTGCATGATCCTGTTTCAGTTTCTGTGCTTGTCAACATCATATCCTGATTTCAGAAACCGAGATAAGCCCTTTTTAAGAAACAAAATTTTGCTACCTGGAGAACTCGGAAAGAAAACAGAATACTGTGGCATGTATAAGCCTTCCCTCGGTTTCTGACAGCAGCCGACTACCTGTGCAGGCGCCGCTTTAGCCAAGTGACTTCCCAGATAAACGAACATAGTGGGTCTTACTTCTGGAGTGATGGAGATCTGAGTTTTGTCTTTCTTGTTGCTGGAAATGAGCTGGATATGGCATATCTGCAACACGATGTTGGCACTTAATATAGCTAAGCCCGCAGTTAGCTAAATAAAGTGCAGCAATCAGAAAACCAGGATACTAGTATTTACCATGTATACAGGGATATGAAACCAGGTTATTCTGTGTGCATGTAAACACCATATCCTAAATATGATTGAAAACTGGGATGAGACTCAAAACCCAGAAACTTAAGTCCATGTGAACACACTCAATGTGACTTTTTGTGTCTCCTGCAGTTTCTTCAGGCAGAGCTGGTCTCTGGCCGTTTATCACGACAGATTCTCCGACTTTGAGCAGGAGCTTCAGCAGATCACCTCGACCAAGGTAACATCATTTTAAAAACAAAACAAGTTTGAGTTCGACGCCTCAGCAGGTCGAGTATTTTATCTCCACCTTTGTGTTCCTGCAGGTCGACGAGCTGAGACGGGCGGTGAACGACGACGACGACGACGTAATCGTTCCTCATGAGGAGATTTTCAAAGACGCCGAGACTCGAGCGGTTTTGAGGAGCGGCGCTGTGAAGTATCTCACCTACAACCGGAACCTGCTGCCAATGTTCACCTACCCGGGACGGCTGTGACATCACAAGCGCTGAATAAAACTGAGCACAAGACGTGTTGAATCGTGATGTCATTGCATGCTTTTTCTTGAGTAGTTTTGTTTATTTAGAATGTGTTCTGTGTCCCCCCCCCCCCAACCCCCCTACTTTGCCTTTTTTTGGCCAATTCTACATGTTGAATCGGCGTCTGCGGTTTCATGACTTCAGGTGATGTCACTTGAGTCAGGATCGGTTGGAGCCACATTAGCGTTTACTTTCTTCATCTGAGTATTAAAACTCTAAACTCACTCTCACTTAAATATAAGAACATGTTTAAATAAAAGTTTACATCTCTACTCAGATGCTTCTGTTTTAATTCCTCCTTCATCATGTGCCAACTGTAACTCTCCCCTCAGTGACTCTGCAGCAGCGTGACCAATCACAGGGCTCGGTGTAGCGGCTGGAGATGAAAGCTCTCCGAGGAGGAGGAGGAGGAGAAGGAGGGTGTCACTCTACAGCTGTATGTTAATGAGGCTGAGCCTGTCGGGAAAATAACCGCACACACACACACACACACACACACACACACACACACACACACACACACACACACACACACAACGACATATGTCCGCACCTACAAACGCCCTGCAGGCTGACAAAACACACACACACACACACACACACACACACACACACACACACACACACACACACACACACACACACACACACACACACACACACACACACACACACACACACACTGCTGGTGTCCACAGTCAGATGTTTGAGGATTCCTTCATGAGTAGTCAGGTTTGAAATGTTATTATACGTTTAACATTTCAGATCAACAGATGAATGCTAAAAGTTCTTTCAGACTTTCTTAACCTTCTTATCTTTCAAATCAGACTCAAGATACACACACATAAAATAAAATAAAAACCTCCCTTTGATGAATTTATCTTTGTAAAATGTAATGATATGAGCCGAGCAGTCTGCCTAAAATAACTTAAAGAGGAACGTTTCTCCTTTATCCATAATATCTCTTCCTTTGGTTTTTGTGATTCTTGTTAGAGTTTGACTCGTGCTGAAGAGACATTTTTAAGAGTTTTATGGTCGTTTCTAAACTCCTGTGCTATGAGTTTGTTTATTAATTTGCAGCAGTAATTAAACTTCATGAAATCAAACTCACACTCCAATCAAATATATTTTCTTTTTAAGTCATTTTGTTCCTTTTTTTTAGTTCTTATAGTCTCTCATATTTGTCTTGAAACAACTGAAAGACCTTTCAACCTTCTTAGGCTGCATTTAGAAATTAAATCAGTGTAATTACTGGACATGATAGAGCAGTTTTCTGCTTTATAACACAGAACAAATACCCTTATTTAAAGGCTTTCCTTGGAAAACGTTGATTTATATAAGAAACGGGATCAAAACACCTCAACACACGGACATGTAGAAGAAGATTGAGATTTTTAGTGTTTAAACATTTTTCTAACTCTAATTCAGACACATAAACAAATAGAGGTAAGTAAAAACCAATTAATGGTTTTGAGTTTGATTAAAACGGTTATAAATTATTTTCAGTCATACCCTGAGTTCAACAGTTATCAACATCTGACACCTGCTGATTTCCAAACATCCTTAAATTTGAATATGATGTCCTCGAGCCCACATCCCATCATCCCTCATGATGGACAGACTCATACCCGTCTGACCCGGGTCAGATGTGAGCTGCAGGAACTGGGTTTTTCTGTGTTTTTTAACTCGTTGATAATCTCGGTTTGCCCCATTTGGAGACCCAGAAAAAGGCGCACTGATTACGCACAGCACGCGCCGACGGTAACTGAGGGCCAGATTGCTTTTTTTTTTTTTTTTGAGGGGGGGGCCCCACTTCTTCTTCTCCTTTTTTTCTTCAACTGTGCAATTTCCTTTTCAATCACGGCGGGTCTACAGCATGCTCAAGCGCAGCCATTGTGATGCAAAGCAGGAAACCCCTCCTCTCGCTATTAATTATGTATGCGTGAAATGACGGATTCATATGTCCGGAGTTAACTGTCACGCCATGCGCACATGCTGCAGGGACACGGTGGTTTGAAATGTTTGCTTTTTGTTTATCTGTCTTATGTATGTGGACGAATCTATCTCCAAACTTCCAGAGCGTTAAAGCATTTCATTTTGGATTTCTACATCTTTTGTTGTCCTGGAAAATCTTTACAAATCTTAAAACTCTCACATCTGAGCTCAAGGTATTTTACGGTATTAAACAGTTCAATTACGCGGAATAACTGAGGCCTGGAGCTGCCTCTCTTCTTATTTCCGAGCGAAATTAGTATTTTATTCAATACTACAGATTGATTTTAATTTCCGCTTAACTTCTCTTCTGCTTAAAATTCTTTATTTTCATTGTAATTATTTTTCAAAGATGTCTTCTCGACGCCGTTATGTGGACGGATGTCTCTCTTTTTTGGACAAATCACTGCCCCCCCCCCCCCCCCCCACACACACACACACACACACACACACACACACACACACACACACACACACACCACCCAACAGAGACACATAAAGCCGAGGCACGTGTAGATTTCTATACAAACTCATCAGACCGTAAAAGCAGGAGGCTCCTGGCGTGTGCCCGGGTCGAGACAGGGAGGAGGAGAGAGAGAGAGAGAGAGAGAGAGAGTGTGTGTGTGTGTGTGTGTGTGTGTGTGTGTGTGTGTGTGTGTGTTGAGTGAATGTGGGGGTGAAATACAATAAAAACCCTCAGGTACATCTGCTTTGCAATCTGCAAATCCTCCCTCCATGCCCCCCCTCCCCCCCTCCTCCTCCTTCATCAGCCTCTCCATCCTCCCACACCCACTCCCCAAATCCACTGGGGACCTCGGCTGCTTCTGATTGGTTGGGGATGAGGCAACAAGGGGGGGACGGGAACAATGTCATCATGGTCGCCTTAAAAAAGAGTGCAGCTATGTTGTGGTGAAAAGCACCTCGGGAGGAGAACAGAGGATCAGTAGCAGAAAGGAAACAACAACAACAACAATAAAGACGCATCAGATGAAAGTGGATTTTTCCTCCTCGTCCGAAGTGCCTTCAGCTCTCTCTCTCCGTCCAGCGCGAACATGCCGAGAGGATTTTTGGTGAAGCGGAACAAGAAACCCAACCCGGTGTCTTACCGGGTCCGCTGTGATGAGGATGAAGCGGCGGCTGATGCTCCAGCGCGGTCCTTCACCGCGCCTCTCCCCTCCGTCCCGGTGCGCGCACAGACGCCGACGCCCACCTGCGGGGCGGCGGCTCCAGAGAAGGACGCAAAACCGGTGCAGTTTGGAAACCCAGAGTCGGTGTACCAGCCGCTCTACAGCCCCACCCGCCCCGTCAGCCAGGATCACGAGCGCTCCTACTTCGACAGACGCTTCAACCTCGGCTCGCCGGTCACCGCGGAATCTTTCCCCACGCCGGCAGCCCTCACGGCTTTGGATCACCTCTTCGCCCCGGTGGATCTGAAGATCGCCTCGAGTAACAGCAGCCGCACCGGCACCGTCAGCACCGCATCATCATCCACCAGTGCTCTCCCCACCGCGGGGGCCAAACGACCCTCCGGCGACACCGAGCGCAAAGGCAAACCTGCATCCAAGAAAACCAAAGCTATCAGGAAACTGCACTTTGAGGATGATGTCACCACGTCTCCGGTCCTCGGGCTCAAGATTAAAGAGGCCCCGGTGGAGCCTCTCAGACCCCAGCAAGCCGGAGGAGACAACGTGCCTTTGGGGGAGTTCGTGTGCCAGCTTTGCCGGGAGGCGTACGCGGACCCGTTCGCCCTGGCGCAGCACAAGTGCTCCAGGATAGTCCGGGTCGAGTACAGGTGTCCCGAATGTGACAAGGTGTTCAGCTGCCCGGCGAACCTCGCCTCACACCGGCGGTGGCACAAACCGAAGCAGCAGACCGGAGCGGCTGCGCACAGTCTGGAGACCGAGAAGGCTGCAGCTGCATCCGGTAAAACTGATGAAGTGAAGGATTCTAGTGACAGGGACACACCCAGCCCAGGACCGTCCGAGTCCGGCTCCGAGGAAGGGCTTTATGATTGTAACCACTGTGGGAAAAAGTTTAAGCGCCAAGCGTACCTGCGGAAGCACCTGGCGTCTCAGCACGGCTCCCCGAAGCCGGCGGAGGACGAGGACGCGCCGGTGTGCGAGCAGAGCGCGGCGCCGCTCAACCTGAGCGCGTCCAGCTGCCACCTGTGCCCAGTGTGCGGGGAGAACTTCTCCAACAGGGGCAGCCAGGAGCGGCACATCCGCCTGCTGCACTCCTCGCAGGTCTATCCCTGCAAATACTGCCCCGCCATCTTTTACAGCTCCCCGGGACTCACCAGACACATCAACAAATGCCATCCGTCCGAGAACCGGCAGGTGATCCTGCTGCAGATGCCGCTCCGCCCCGCCTGCTGATCTGGGACTCTGGGGTTGCTTTCACACTGTCAGATCACACAAGGCAACACACAGCAGCTTTATGTGATGGAGGATTTAATGGTTACACTGCAAAAAAAATAAAATTAAAAAAATAGAAAGATTTTTTGAGAATGTTGGGCTCCTAAAGTCTTCATTTTTTAAAATCAAGAGAAAAGTTTTGCAAGTAGCTGACAGTCTTGTTGACTTTCCTGTTGATTTGAGACTTTCATCTCAACTTTTAACAGTTTTCCTTTCTTAAAAATTGTATAACACTAAACTGTCATTTACTTAAAAACCACATCTGGAACAATTTGCACTAATATGAAAAACAGGGAGCTGCTTCTTGAATCAACATTTTTGGACACATTTTTTCAAAACTCATTGGGTACAAAAAGTGGAGATAGTGAAATGTTTTGATTAAAAAATAGATATTCTCACAACTCCTCGGGCTGAAAGTAGAAAATCAGGAGTTTCTTTTTTGCAGTGTAAACATAGTTTTGTCAGATTCCTGCAGATCTCCTGCAGCTGGCGGGGATTCAGTGCCTTGCTTGAGGACACTTCAGCAGGTTCTGGGTGTGTTTGTGTGTTTGAACCCTGGCCTATAACAACGCCCCCTCCCCTCCCCCCTCCTTTTAAAGCCTCTCTGACGTCATATTTCCGACACTTAAAGCGTTAGACTGTTAATTTATTTTTCTAGCATCTCTGCACAAGTGCTATTAGCTTCTAGACCTAAGAGAGGGGACGACCTGTAGCCGATGTAAAAGCAGAAATCACAGGCCGGAGACGACCTTTTCTCACACTCTGATTAGCTTTAAACTAGCTCGTGGATCCGTGGATCAGTAGCTGTTGCCTGAAAACAAACCAGAGTAAAAAAAAATAGTGTAGCCGGTAATGCCTTTGGATTAGAAACTCCTGCTGTAAAACTGCCTTAAAACTGAACTGATTGTTTTTTTTTTCATCACTTATTTATCACTGGCTGGGTGTGATATTCATTTCAAAGCCTTCTGTATTACCACTATACAGTATATTCTTTGTTTTTATTTATTTATGTATTTATTAAATTATTTGTGTAAATTATTGCTCTGTGTGCTCAGTGATCTGTTGCTGTGTTTCTTCACGATGTAGCCAAATTGATTTCTTTTTGTTAATTTATATTTAAAAAAAACCTGTGTGTGTGTGTGTGTGTGTGTGTGTGTGTGTGTGTGTGTGTGTGTGAGGACGGTGCGTTCAAGTGTCATTACAGCAATCAATGAGTTTTACGAGACACTCTTGAATAATAATAATAATAATAATAACTAAATGCAATCATGATTTTTTACAGTTTGTATTTGTTTCTGTAACTGTTAGCTCTTACACTGCTTTGGATGTTTCTGCAGTATTTTTGCTAAATGTCCAAAAAAGAATAAAAACCAAACTGAGAAACAAGTTTTTGATTCCGTTTCGTTGTTGACATGTAATAGTCTTTACAACAATAATAAATGTACTGTCCAGTTTCATGAGAGGTCAGAGGGTCGGGTCAGAGGTCGTCTGCAGGTCGACACTCACTAAACCTTCGTGCATCTGAAAGACATTCCTGCAGTCTTTCTTCTCTTTGTCTCTGCGTCTCTTTGAGCCTTTACAAAACACGCTCTGTGCAGCTACCGTACTGTATCTTGATGCTGTGGTCTGGTGTACAGCCAAGAGGAGCAGTTAGCCAATCAGAGCTTTATAAAGATCTCAGTAAAAAGGCACATTGGAGTCATGGTCTTACACAGCTAGCTTTTGTGTTAGCTTCCATTTTTAGAACTAAAGTTAAACATTTCTATCTTGGTTTGAAGGATTTAAATAAAAGGCAGGGTTGGTAATCTTTTTAAAAACTAGCATGATTTTGAAAGTAGCATTCCCTCAGTGCTCCGTCTGCACTCCCTCCCCTCTGTGCTCCCTCATAAGCCACGCCCCCTCACTGACATGCGGACCTCAGCTCATCTCATTGTGTAGAAACTACGTCGTCTTATGTCTCATTCAGTAAACTCTCAGTATAAACTCCTAAAGTCATCGATGACGAGCTTTGAGTGTGAGCTAGAGCAGGTAAGAGGTAGAGAGCGAGCAGGGAGACAGGGAGACGTCTGATTGGTTCATCAGATTGGTACCTCGTGGCAGACATTGGTGGAAGTTTTTACAGACTTACAAACTGATACAGATGATGGATTTACTTTGTTCCTTTTTCAGAGAACATGAGTTATTCATTTCTGTCAGGACCTAAAGACAATTTCAACCAGAATCTTAAAAAGTGGATCTGGAGGAAATGACCAACTCTGACTTTAACGGCTGAAAAATGCATTTATCCTTCCTGTTCTATAAAAACTGAATGTTAGAAGAAGTGACTGAGATGAGAAACATTTTGTCTTTGGAGAAAGTCTGAGAGTTTTCACAGCATCAGGTGGATATCTATAGTCTCACCTTCACCTCTACCCCTCCATCACACTGTGACACTTTCTCCCTGTCTCTAGCTGTTAGCACACACACTTTCACTATGTTAACACACACACACACACACACACACACACACACACACACACACACTACACTCACACACACACACACACACACACACACTTTCACTATGTTAACACACACACTCACAGGCAGGCCATCAGTCTGCGCCTCCCTACTGGTGTCGCTCTGACAGGTGTAAGCCAGCTGGGGAGCAGACTGCAGATAAGAGCGGCAGATGACACACACACACACACACTCTCTCTCTCTCTCTCTCT